GGTAGACGGCTGAGGAGGACACAACAAAACTTCAAAGGACTCTTTGATGGTTTCCGCTGCTGGCATCGCGAGATCTTGATAAACCCGCATTATACGCCGCTAGTCTACTATCGTGCCGTCTCGTCTCGCGCCTCACTCGACTACCTCGCTTCCTCTCTCTCGCTCTTATCCAAAAGGTCCCACAAACTCTAGCTCTCTTACTTACTCTCTGCTCTCTGGCTCTCCTTCTCTCATATACAGACTTCCTCTCTTCCTCTCTCCCCAGCTCGCTCGCCCTCTAGATATCATTTTCTCTCTCTCTTTCTCTCTCCCTTCCATTGGTACTCCTTCTTTCTTTTATTCAATCCTCTACCACGCTATTCCTCCTCATCGTATCGTATATATACTATATCAGTATATAGTATATAGTACGCCAGTGGTATTGTGAGGCTCGAATTATTTTTTAACTCCACCGCGGTCCAATTATAACCACTTATTTTTTTTTTCTTCCTACAAACGAATGAAAAATTTTTTATCGAAATTCAAATAAATATATCATTAAATAATTATTCTTAACGTATATATATATATATATATATCTATAATTTTTTTATAAAACGAAAAAAAAAAATTCAACTCCTATCCGGAAATTTTATTCGACGACATAACACGGGAATCAAGAATAAAAAAAAATAAAAATAATAGTCTTACTCTTACTTTTACGCTTCGGCTAAACTGCGTGTATACATATACATATTAATGTATAATATATAAATATTAAAGTGCCTGAGAGTATCACCTGATTAATGTTTCAGCAGTCGTAAAAGCCAAGCTTGATCTTCTCCCCATTTGAGCTCTTGAGCAGTTATTTTGCCAAAGGGCTACGACAAAGAGTGTGGATAGGAGTCAAGTCGGCTTTTAGGTGAATCCCACGCTTACATTAGTGTGTATGGTACTTGTTTGTCTTAAACCGACGTTACGATAAAGGAGTTTAATATCCATACATATATATATATATATATATATGTAGAGAAGACGAGTATGTAGAGCTTATAGATACTTAGATTATATGAAGAGAGTAAGAGTATTTGCGAATAGAATGTAAGAGGCCAAGTAGTATTATACTAATCATAATTGATGAAACGTTTTCAACTAACCGTTTGACGAAATAGCCGGCATAACTGGCTGTGATGTTGTTGAGAAACATCATACAAGTCAAAGCGGCAGCTAAACCCAAAGCCAAAGACACTAGACACGTTAACTGACTGGCATATACTGCTATGTCGTCCGTTCCTCATATCATACTAACATAATTAATACATCCATCGCATACAATTGTAGTATGTACGTACCATAATATGCACTGGCATAAGCCACAAGGCTTTATAGGTGCATATCAGTACATCAGATTGTCTACTCAACATAAATGGATAGGATTACGGTGGAATCATACACAGGATATCTATGAAATTACCATCAGCAGAGCCAAAATTCCAAATCCTGTGCTTAGCTATTCATTAGTTTATAACGGATTTACGTTAATCATCAGTCAGCTGGTCACGTTCTATCGATACATCTACAACACATTGTTTCTATATTCTATGTGATACAAAGTTATATAGATGTGGATTGGATTGTACCGATTGTACGTGTGGTGTAGTATAGTGTAGTGTAGCATTTAACTGGCACACTTGAAGCTCTTTCATGTCCCCGCCAATCCGTTTCCGCTATTTCCGCCCTCTCTTCCTTCTCTACCCTCTTCATACCACGTGCTCGAGTGTACAACAGAATGTTCGACAGTCGACACATCATTCTCTATTCTCAATCTGTCCATCTCTTTCTCGAATTCATTCACCAACTGTCCACAAAAATTATAATCCTCGTAAAAATTTTCTCCGCTTTTAAATTCACAGGATTAGTTTTTCCTGACCAGACCAGACTGGTGACTTGTTCTGTTCTTTTTATCCTGTATTATGTTCTATACGCCCACACACAACTAAAAAAATATTAAAAATATAAACATACCAACATAACACCATATCTACGGAGGATCATATCTGTATAAAAATATGTGTACGCTCAGCAATATGTATGATACATGTAAAGAAAAAATACCATCCATACATTTAGAAATTCATCCCTCTACATACATAGTCATGACTAGTCCCAACTACTCCCGAGGGTAAAATTCTCCGAGCTCGGGTATTTCTGAAAGTGTTTGACTTTCGTAGAACTCAAAAAGAATAGGAGATAGGTGGCGTGCGATAGAGCAACAGAGACCCTGAAAAAGAAAAAAGGAAAAAAGTATTCTTATGTATACATTTTAAGTTGGAATATTTGATATGTAACTGCTGGAGTGAAAAGAAAGCTCTCACGCTAGGACGTTTTGTAGGTTGGTGGCTGTGCTGCTGATGGCAAACCACTAGTTTCTATATAGAATAATATATTGAAAAAGAACACACACGTTAATATATTACCCGGTACCTATGAACATATTTAAATTTATATTCATATATACATATAACATATGTAATATGTATGTATGTGTGCATATTACTGGAGACTGGAGTACGATTTTGTGTGTATGTTACAAAGCGCACACGCATGAGAGTACACGCGGATAGAGTATCACCACACAGAGTATCCTCTCTCAGAGTGTGTAAGTGAGAATTAGACGTGGATAAAGTGAGAAGATTACTACTACGACTTTGCACGGCGACGGCGATGATCATCATGTGAAGTGGATACAGGCAACCAAAGGATGGAAGCTGATCATAGCAACAGAACGGTCTACGGTGAGCGAGTAATGGCCGCTAACCAAAAAAAACCCAAACCAAAATCAAAATAATAATTCAACTAAACAAATTATAATAATTATTATTATATGCAATAATTAAAATCCAAGTTATTTAGATAATAATTAAATAAAACAAAAATAAATTAATAATGGAGTAGTAGTAACAATAACAATGTGCACTTGGCGAATATATATATAAGTGATGAAAAAAAAAAAAAGTGTAATCACCTGTCCGACGGCGAGGGCGATGTCTGTAAGGACTGATGGCACGCGGTGCTGGCGTCCGTGTTTAAGTAAAACGGGCGCCTCACCTCAACAATATTCGACGTTATTATTTTATTATCTTCGACGTCCGAGGCTGTTATCACCCCGATCACGGTTCTTCGGATATTCGTCTATCCAAGCTCATTTTTAAATTCACGTCTTAAACTTGAGACCGTGAACGTCAACTTCTTGTTGGATAGCAGTTGTTGTAACCAGAGGAGTAGTTAGGACGGCACGGGTTGCGCATGGCGCGTACCACGACGACGCGAATAAAAAACGCGACTCTCTGGCTCTACTCTCTTTTACGTACGAATGCGTTTGTCTGGTTAGCTCCTGGCTACTTCTGATGCTGATGCTGATGCTGCTGCTGCTGTTTCTGATTTCAAGCCACTCCTGACTCCTGACTATTTTATGTACTCAAGTGTTTTAACCAACAAAACTACAACAGACTACATTTATAAACACAAATATATTTATAAATATTTATATATACTATATTCATATATATGTATGTATATTTTTTTTCATAACCATATATCATCAATAAACACCACCAGTAACTACACTTTATCAATAATAATATATTGATAAATAAACAATTATCACTATTTAATAACAGAATAATAAAATAAAACGAAATAATAATATATAAAATATAAATTTAACGCACCACTGAAACGACGGAGCCAGTATCACAGTAGTAACAAACTCACAGTGATCCAACAACACATCACACTGTTGTACATCGTCGCCATCAACTGCTTGCTCACTTCTCCCACTTCTTATACTTATTTTTCGTCTTCGTCTGGCTGTTCCTTACTCTTCGTAAAACCCAGCTCTTGTCACTCGTTGTCTTTCTCAACTTCTTCTTCTTCTTCTTCTTACTTATTCTTTCCTTCTATCTTTCTTATTCTTTTTAAGTTGTTTCCTTCTTCGTCTCCGCCTCCACTCTGCCACCTAGGCACACCTAGCCTGAATCCGTGACTGTCCATGGGTGTACATGATTTGTCAGGCTGCTGCTGCTGCTGCCGCTCAAGCTCGTCTCCGTCTCTTACATTGCTCTGCTTACCCTACTCTTACCCTGGAATTACACATATCTATACATCACACTGCATACACATACAATTGCACATGCAAAATTACTTACTCGCTTGTTCCGTGCATCCATTTTCCATAAGACCTTCTCGCTCTGCAGTTCTTGAGTCTGCAACAGACCTATAAGTGGGAGAGAGAAAGAGAGAAATGAAAAGTTTCAAGATTGCCAACTTACTGCGCGCCCTCGTGACTATTTTTAAAAGCTCCCGCGCTTTTGTGTGTCTCGATTGCACCGGAGCCGGTACGGGGCCAATCAACCGGACTATCGCTTAGCTTTCAATTCATTTGTATCGAATAAACCTCAGAAATAATACTTTTATAATATATGATTTGTATATATATATATATATATATATATATAATAGAGGTTGTAATAATAGGAACATACAATTGACGGCTTACAAGCCTTTTTTTAAGTACTATTGAGATTAAGTGTTATTGCAACGATGAATTGTGAACAAAAGCCGTTTGAGCGTACACTCGTGGATGACAAATGTTCAACTTTCTTTTGATCTTCGCGTGGCTTTGTTTCATCGGCGCTTGAGGCGCTCGACAATTCACCACCAAGGGGTGCCCGACCCGAAACAAACGCCTGATCATTACCATTGAAATTTAATATTTATTTATTTCTGCTCAATTTAATTAATTATTTATCTCGAGAGGCTTATACATCCGCACTTACTAATTGTTTTTTTTTTCAGCAAAAACCCTTAAGACCCTCAACCAGGCTTTTAATTATTAACAATCTACTAAGAAACTTAATTGGTTCTTAATTTTTTTAACCAACTAAGCTATTTTAGAGAAAGTTTTTATTTTTGAACTCGGCGGGAGTTTCAAATCTCGCGGGCTATTTTTAAAAATCAATATGGCGCTTGCGCGCTTAATTTTAGTTGCCGGTAGTTTTGATGGCGCTGCGGGTTCTGTTTCGTTTCTATTTTGTCACGTGACTGATTTTGTCGCTGAAAACGAGCGACTAGCGACTGCATGAGGCCGCACCTTTAGAAACAAATGAATGAGAAGATGATCACTGAAAAAAAAGACTAAAACACATTAGTGTAACTACCACAGAAACGAAGAAAGACATTTTTTATAAAAAAATAGATTTTTTCCAATTTATTAACGCCTAAACGATTAAAAAAAAAACATTTAGAAGGTAACTTGCACTTTATAGTCAACTAATTAGTTTTAAATATATATTAAGTATCTTATAACTAAAAAAATATTTTAAGAAAATTACACTTTTAGTTTTTCAAATTTTCTGCATCTGAAATTTTTATTTTTATTTTTTTTTTGTAAAATTTCAAGTGTCTGCTAATTTCATTTTCATTTTTAATTCATGAATTCAACTTTTCTTAAATGACACTAAAGTTAGCAGACATTTCACTTTATTTAGATTTTATTTAACAAATAAATTGTTTACTAAAAATTATTCTCAAATAATTGTATTATTATAATCTTTTCCAATTTCTACATGTGTAATTTTTTTTTCGAATTTTTTTTATTGATATAATTTATTTGTTATAAAATTTAAAAAAATTATTAAATGTCACTCAATTTTAAGAATCTTTTTTTTTTCGATTCAACTTCAATTAATTTTTTTTTTAAATAAAATGCGACTTTAATTTTATTTAAAATTTTTTTCAGAATGACGTCAGGATACTTAAGTACCATACAACAGTCAATAAATTACGAATGGAATCTTCAAGATTTTCCAAGGTTTGTACGTAATATAGATTTGACAATTAAATCACCAGAACTTCGAGCCGATTTCACACCTGGTACTTTGTGGTATGTAAAGTTGTATTTTCATAATGACAGCTCAGACAAAAAAGAGTGGATATCGGTATCACTGAAATCACAGTCTGAAAATCCGGAAAAATTGAAACAGTGGTCAATTTTTATTTTAAATAATAAAAAAGAAATGGTGCTTATCAAACAATTTGATATTACTCCAACTAATAATCCCTTTGTTAATTCATATCAAAACTTGATTGAGAAAAAAAAAATTTTAAACAACAGAGATGAATTTTTATTTCATGACACATTGACTATAGGCATAAAGTTGGTTGTACAATTTGACGTTTCACCAAGTGACATTAAATTTCTTCCAAACTTAACGAAAAGATGTATCGGAGATGATTTAAAGGAACTTTTAAAGAATATGACCGAATGTGATGTTACTTTGATAGTAAAGAATGAAGAATTTCAAGCACATAAGATCATTTTGATGACACGCAGCCCAGTGTTTACCGCAATGTTTTCTCATGAAATGAAAGAAAAAAAAGACAATACAGTAACTATACCAAACGTCGATCCAGTGATATTTAAGAGAATATTAGAATTTATTTACACTGATAAAGTTGAAAATCTTGAAGTTTACGCTGAAAGATTGCTTGAAGTCGCAGATCAGTATCAATTGTCATATCTGAAAGAGCTTTGTGAAGAATCAATTGAAAAATCTCTAACTATTGGAAACGTTTTCAAGATAATGACATTGGCTGATCATGCAAATTCTGAGCAATTATTAGATCGTTGTATGTACGTGGCTGCTGCTGATATTAATTCAATAATAATTACTAAAGGATACAAAGAAGCCATCTCATCTCCTCAATCGACACGGATACTATCAAAACTAGTTGAGAAATTAGCATTTATAATTGCTGATAATAAATCTGATGATCTAACAACGAATGTGATTACCACAAAAAAAAGGCGACCTTCACTGGCATTATCAGTGTCCATTATCAGCAAGTTTTGATTTGCTATAATTAAATCAATTTTCTGTTTCTCATTATTGTAGATCTTTATTTTACAGTTGCAAAAAATATCTATAATATTATTAAAATATCCAATGTAATTTTTTCTGACTTGATTTATCACTCAAAATATTTTTCAACATGAATAAAAAATAATAATTTTTGCTTCAATTTTTTATCCTTATTATTTTATAGGTAAATTAAAAATAATACTGATATGAAATCAGCAGACGTTCAACAATTTTTTGTCATTAATTAAATTCCAAGTCAAAAAATATTTTTCAAAAATTTCAATTTCAAATATTTTACATAGAGACTTTTTCTTTATGAAAATAAAGTTAGCTGACAAAATTTTTACAAATTTTTTATTGAAAAAATTTCAATTAAACAATTTAAAAAAAAATTCCACATGTAAATAACTTGAAAAACTATAAGTGCAATTTTTTATAAATATCTTTTTAGTTGTAATTTAATTAATAAAAAAAATAAAAAATTTTTAGACGTCTGCTAACTTCAGTGTCATTTTTTCTTTTAATCTTTTTGTTATAATTTTTTCAACAAAAAAATCCTAAAAATTGTCAAATGTCTGCTGATTCCAGTCTTAAATCAAAAACCCGTTAGTTTCGCACATGCGCACTCTATCAAGCGTTTATAGACACATAACCTTAATCTTAAATAAATAAACCAAGAGACACAAAGAGCGCCTTGAATGGAATTTCTTTAAAGTTGAATATTCCATTACTAATATTGTTGCTTAATAAAAAAAATAAAATAATAACAATATTTTTTAATTAAAAATTAAATTTACCTGAATCACAAAGTTTTTGTGTTTGAGCATAAGCTTTATTTAAAAAAATGGAAAAACATCAGCGTAAAGTTGTGAAACATGTTGGCTACCACGAGTGGAAAATAGAAAATTTTTCACCACTTATTGATGTCTCAGAGTTGATCGTCGGCAAGCCAACATTCCTGGAGTCCTTGAGCTTCACCGTAGAAAACACAGTTCCGAACTCGTGGTATTTGAGGATGGGATTCGATGGAAATAAATCAGGTAATAAAGATTGGATATCAATAAGCTTGGCAACTACTGAAAAAACTGAGCCGGTGCGAGCTATGTGTTCGCTTTTTATTCTAAATAACAAGAACGAAAAGAAATTTATTCAGTGCTTCAACAATATTGACAAAAGTTCCAACATTGCTTGGTACTCAAAGAAGTTTCTGGAGATTAAAACACTGCTGGACAACAGAGATGAATTTTTGCCAAATAACCAGGTAACTATCGGTACTGAGGTTATCATTTACGACTTTTACGTAGCTCCAGTTGGGATCAAAGAGTCATCGAAAACTCCCAAGCATTCTATTTATGACGATTTAAAGCAGCTTCTTGTTAGCGGTGTTGCCAGCGACGTGACTTTACTTCTGGACAACAAAGAGTTCAAAGTCCACAAAGCCATTTTGATGGCACGTTGTCCAGAGTTTTTAAAAACGTTCAGTGACACTGAAGATAACGCGATGAACGGGAAGAAAGTAATGCCGAAAATGGATCTAAAGACCTTTGAAATGGTGTTGGAATTTATTTACACAGACAAAATCTGTGACTTGGAAGACAACGTTGTGCTTTTGCTGGAAGCTGCTGATAAATTCAAGCTTCAGCCACTCAAGGATATGTGCGAAGAGCTTCTGTCAAAATCTATTGACATTGACAATGCTATTCGAATCATGGATCTGGCTTATCGCAGTAACGCTCTCCAGTTATTGGAACTCGTTACTCAATTTATTGTTGCTAATATTACAAAAGTAATGAAGACTCCGACGTATGCAGAAGTTATTAATGTCAATCCGAGCATTTCTTCTATTCTCGTTGAAAGACTCGCAACCTTACTTCAAGTTCCTTGTTTAACGTAAGCTCCTGATGGTTATAGAGTCAATATTAGAGAGTAAAAATGTAAACTATTTTATTATTAATCATGGTATAATAATTTACTTTGATGATTAATTGTTTTTATTTTTATTTTCAGCTGAAGAAATCTTATACAATTAATCATTGGCTTAAATGATAATGCTCAATTATGATAAGTAATCTAAGAGCCATAAATATACACAAGTATATTGTTGATTAACTAAGAATAATTATTACGATTTAAGACGTATTGATGTTGTGCGGTGAATGTTAATTGATAAATAATTGATATTTATTTTACGTTTTGTTTCGAAGTTAATAAAATAATTTTTGATACTTACATACTTTACTTTACATAAATACTTTTAAAGTTTAACTTAGTTAATCTATATATATATTTATAATCAAAAATATATTTAAAAATTATTATTTAAGTCCTAAAACTAATTTTAAAAAAATACTTGGCCAAAGGTACAAATCAAAAGCTCCAACATTTTTCAATAGAAAATAAGCCATTACTTAATGCTAAAGTTAGCTGACATATCGATGGTTTTCTAACGCAACCTCGTATCTCAAAAATCACAATTTTAGAGATGAGGTGAAAAATAGCTTATAAAAAATTAATATTCATCTCAAAACAATATTTATCAATTGTATTTTCTAAAAATACCATCGTATTTATTATTAATTTGGTTAATATTTTTTTTTCAGTCACGCGTTTATAATTAATTATTAATTTTTCAGTTGAACTCTTTCATCTTCAAAAATCGAGATACGTGGTTGCGATAGAAAACCCTCAATATGATGATTTCTAGGGTTTTTTTCAACAAATAAAAAAACTTTCTTGAAAATTTCACTTGTAGATTTGTCAAAAAATTATTATTGTAATTTTTTAAAAAATGTTTTCTTAGTAGTAATTTATTTGTTGTGAAAAAATTCAAAAAACTACAGATGCCTGCTAACTTCAGTTTCATATTATTTAAATAATTTATAATTATTTAACAATGTTAAGTGACAACAATTGAGTATTAATTACTTCATTTGTTTTAAATTTACTAAGATAATTTTTATATTAATATATATTTAAACGTCCGTGCGTATTTTTGTATGTTTAATTTAGTCAAAAAAGTAATGTTTAACAAAGAAGATAAAACCTATAAAAAAGAGATAATACTGAAATTGAGAGACATCTGACAATTTTTATAAATTTTTCAACTAATAAATTGTAGAAAAAAAAAATTTATTAAAAAAAATTCCATCTTTAGAAGCTTTAAAAAATTATAAGTACAATTTTTTATAAATAATTTTCTAGACCTAATTTGGTAATCAAGAAAAATTAAAAAGTTGTCAAGTGTCTGCCAATTTTAATGTCATAAAAAGTGTAATAAAAAAGAAGTAATATTTATTTTTAAAAAAAACTTAAGTTCAACTAAAAATTTTTGTTGTAATATTTTGAAGTATTAAAAATTTATAAAGTTCTAACTTGAGTTAAAAACTCGTATAAGGGTGTACTTAAAAATCATAATTCTGTGAAAGAAAATAACAAACTTTAATTTTTATGTTTTTATAAACTATATTAATATTATAAACTAAAGCTTAATACTCATGTTCATTATACTAATTTTTATAAATATTTATTGTGATGTTCAACTTGTTATGTGTTGCTTTTCCGTTTCAGAAGAAATAAAATATTTTTGAATTTTTGCATATTTTCTGTGTTAAGTATTATTTTTTAATTTATTAATAAAATTCGTAGTTTTTAAGCACTGAAATAAAAATTACGGTACCAAAATTAATAAACATTAAAGAGTTTTTTTTTTTTAAATTTAATTAGAAATAAAATATTTTTTAAAAAGTGCAGGTATAGCTTTTCAAATTTTCTACATGTAAAAATTTTTTTTTTATTTTCTAAATAAAATAAAAAAACAAAAATTTTCAGATGTATGCTAATTTTATTTTTACAAAAAAATTTGAAAAATTTTTCAAGAACTTCAAACCCAATTTTTATGACTCGTCATGCGCATTGACGCCGTCAGGTTTGAGAAGAAAAAAAAACTACTTACCATAACCTTATTGATGACTAATTGTTGCATCAGAATTCAGAACACGAATATTTTGACAACTGTTCGGAAAAAAAAAAAATCTCAATACTTATTATCATAATTATTCAATTAATTTATTATTTACAAATTCGTTAGTTAGAAATTAAAATTATTATTATAAAAAAAAAAAAAATCTCAATACTTATTATCATAATTATTCAATCAATTTATTATTTACAAATTCGTTAATTATAAGAAATTAAAATTATTATTAACTTATAAAATAATTTGTGTAAGGATGACGGTTGACAATAAACTCGGTGAGCACAAGCTCAACTACGAGTGGCAAATTGACGATTTTTTATCAGTGATCCAGCGACCGAGCTTTACGGCCAACAAAGATGGATTTCTCCAGTCGCCAACATTTTCAGTCGAAGGAACGTCTAAAAACCTGTGGTACTTAAGATTGCGTATGTTGGAAGAGAATTCCAGCAACAAGGAATGGCTGTCATTGTCATTGACTACTCTCAACAAAGAGACAGAAGCAACCAGAGCTAGCTGTGTATTATTTATTCTGAACAACAAACAAAAAAAAAAATTCGCCCAAATTTTCTGCAACAGCTTCGTAAGCTCCCACATTGACTGGTGCTGCGAAAAGTTTATAGATAAAAATTTACTGATTGACAAGAAGGATGAGTTTTTGCCCAACAATATGCTTTCAATAGGAATTGAGCTGACAATTTTCGACGGACCTATCAACTCTGTTGATGAACTGGCAAGTATTTCAAACCGTACTATTATTGGTGATCTAAAAAAACTTCTTAACCATAAAGAAGGCAGTGACATCACTCTACTCGTCGGTGATCAAGAGTTTAATGTCCACAAGGCCATTTTGGTGTCCCGCAGCCCGGTGTTCTGCAAATGGCTGCTCAATTCACCGAAGGAACACATGGTTGAAGAAAACAAATTAATTCTAACAAATTTCGATGTCCAGACTTGCAGAATGATGCTGGAGTTTATTTACACGGACAAAGTTGAAAATTTAGAGAGTAACATCGAGAATTTACTTGGAGCATCTGACTTCTATCAGCTGAAAGGTCTGAAGGAAATCTGTGAAGAGCATCTCTGCGAGTCAATTATTATCGAGAACGTTGCAAGGATAATGGTTTTGGCGTACCGCCACAGCGCAAAACAATTGTTCGATTACGCAATCGATTTTGGAGCTATCAACATTCAACAAGTCATGAAAACAAGGTACTATGTCGATGTTACTCAGTTTTATCCGCTTATATCAACTATGCTTCTTGAGAAACTTGCAAACATTATTGCTGCGCCGTCTACACCGCAGAGTCCTGAAGTCATGAAATTTTTTTCTAACGAACAAAGGTATGATAGCTATATAATATACTTTAAGCTTTTTTTTTATATTTTATATGTTAGTACTAATGTGTATTTCATTTTTTCAGATTGTAATATAATCATAGTCATACTGAAGATAATTAGAGGATTTAATGAGTTGAATTTATTATTTTTATAAAGATGTTTATTCACATTATAAATAAGTTTATCGTTGTTTTTGAAAAACAGTATAAAAAATGAATTTGCAAAGTTTTTATGAATGTCGATTTGCTTATACACGATGTTTATTGACTTGAAATTTAATACTTCAGATCGAATTATGTATTGTTCGATAAAATTAGTGACTAAAATTGTTGACTTGAGTGATATTTTGATGTAAAAAATTTTTTGTTTTTTTCGATAAAAACTTTGTTATAACTTATCTTTGGTTCAGCATTTATAATTACAATAATCATTCATATCCACGGTTTTTAATTTCTTCGGTAATTCGTTCAATTAATTATAGGGTAAAAGACCCCATTACTTATTCAATTAATGAAATCATTAATTTAAATAATGAATATATTATTTCTAATCTTTAAAGACTTTTAGATCAAAAAATATTTTAATTTTTATTCCAAGTAGAACATTTTTTTATTGAAAGAACAAGTGCTACTAATGGGGGTTAAAGGTGCCACTAATGGGGTCTTTTACCTTAATAATATCTATCGATATTATGTTACCCAAGTAGCATAAAAATTTTTTTGGTAATATTTTTTTGAATTTAAATTGACAACTATTAATTTTCAACTTCTTGTTAAATAAAATTTTCAAAGAAGTCAACATTTTTTTTGAGACGTTTGGGTACATTATTAAGGAAATTAAATTTTAATTCAAACTAAAATGAAAAATTTTATAAGAAAAATTATTACTGTTGATAAAACGTGAATTATTGAGATATTCTAAAATTAAATTTTAAAAAGGTATGACTAATTATATCTGGAGTACGTTATGTGCTTATATTTATCTAGGGGCAGGTAAAAAAAATTTTTGACAAAATTATTACTTGTCACTTTCAACATATTGAGATTTAAAAAACTTTAAAATAATCTTTGACAATTATGATAATTTCAAGGATGTTAAAAAAAGTAATCAAAGTTTTTAAAAATGTACGCTAAGAGTATTGCAAAATTGGTATGTTGTTTTTTTTTTTTTTTTTTTCAGTATTCAGTACCGCTCCGATTCAAATTTACAACTATGTTTAAAAATTTGATAGAAGATTAAAGTTGTTTCAACGTAAAGATAAATCGAAAAAAATAGAACCAGACTCTTTGAAATGAAAGGCCATAATTAAATTTTAAAAATTGAAATAAAAGATAATGACATGGTAAGGTAAGTGGTAAAAAGATTTATCTTTTTTTTTTTACTGGAATAATTATAATAAATAGAAATAGTATTTAAATAGACTTTATAAAAGTGTGTACAAAAAATCGTTAAACTAAGCAAGTATATATTTAGATTTTTTACAATTCAAGTATATCAAATTTAGATTTATCGAAACTAACGGTTCATGCGCTCTCCATTTATATTTAATTTCAGTGAACAGCGCAACATTACTCAACGCAGTGCGCAGTTGGTGATTCAACAAATATCAACACATACAGGAAAAATATAACAGCATAACAGAAAGAGACTATCAACTTTAACCTAGTATTTAAGTATTCGCCTGTATGAACTAGTGAATAAGTTTTGTACAACATTGTATAAGTATTGTTAATAACTGTTACTTAAAAAGCTTAATAATTTCAGTGTTGAAAAAAAAAAAGTTTAACTAAAAATGGATAAATATCGCACAAGAACAGTGTCACGTAAGTTGAGTTACGAGTGGGAAATAGCCGATTTTACAGCGCTTGCTGACACACCCAACTTTGGAGTTTGTGGAACTGAAATTAGGTCTCCAAAAATTTCAGTCAACACGTCATTTAAGAATGAATGGCATTTAGAATTAACAATGACTGAAAAATGCTTCATAGTGTTTGTAGTGTCAGACGTCGAAGATAAAGAGATGATCATAAGGACCCAATTTTCCGTCTCAATCTTGAATGAAAGAAAAGAAAAAAAAATCAATAAAGTATACAATCAATTATTTACTGGAAGAGTAACTCGTAGCCCAGAAATATCCCTCATTCAAAAGCTCGATATCATGTATAGTCGAAGCCAATTTTTGCCTAATAATGTGCTGACTATTTGCTTAGATCTTGCAGTATATGACGAGTGTACTGAGATTATTAAATTTCCATCAAAATCTTCGAATTATATGATCGGCGAGGACTTCAAGAAGCTTCTTGATGACAACATAGCTAGAGATATTACTCTGGTGGCGAACGAAAAGGAATATCAAGCTCACAAAGCTATTTTGATGGCACGCAGTCCATTCTTTTACGCGATGCTCACCCACGATATGAAAGAAAAACAAGAAAATAAAATTACTGTGCCAGATATTGATCTGAAGATCTTTGAAAAAATGATTGAGTATATTTACTCAGATAGAGTAACTAATCTTGATAGTTGTGCTGAGCAGATGTTGGAAGTCGCTGACCAGTATCAACTACTAGGACTCGTTGAGATGTGTGAAGAATCACTGAGCAAATCAATAACTGTTGAAAATGTTATAAGGGTGCTGGTATTAGCTGATAAATTTAATGCTCAGCAATTACTGGAGTTTTCTCTCAATTTTGTAGTCAGCAATATCTCACGGATTAAAAATACTAAAGAGTATCAACAAACTATTAACGATAAATCTAATCCATGTTTGACGATGAAAATTGTTGAAAAATTTGTTGCAGCTTCAAATCTTGAGGGTACATTAAATAATAATAACACTAAAGTTAGTCGACGTTTTTAATTTTTTTAATTATTAAATTAGAACTAAAAAATATTTTTAAAAAATTGTACTTACAGTTTTTCAAGTTTTTTTTATAATTTTATTATAATTTTTTTATTATTTTATAATAATTTTTTTTTTCAATTTTCAAAATTTTTAGATGTTGGCTAACTTAATTTTCATTAAATAATATTAATTTTTTTACAGAAAATATGATATGATCAAATTTATAATAAAAAGCCGTAGAGTGTCTTCCATATTTCTACTCAAAAAAGCCTTACAGTGAAACAAACTACCTCAGTAACTTAAAAAAAATTAATTAATTGTTAAGAGTAACATATATTTGACAACTGTCTTTTTGTCGATGAACCAACAATGAAAACAAAATATTCTAATTTTTTAAAAAATTACTTAATATATACAAAATGTAGTTTTATGTATGATGCAACGAAGAATAACTGTTCAATGTCTTCTATTTTGTGTAATGAAAAAAAATATCAATAAATTTTTTTTTTTCAACAATAATTATGCCTAAAAATTTTTTTTCTTAAGTATTTTAAGTTATTTTTTAACTATTATATTGTAAGTACTTACATAGTAAATAGAAACTTAAATCTTATTAGAAGCCTAATACGCATGCGCGTTGGTTCGTCATGCGCAAAGAATTTTTACGAGGACGAAACATATCACAAAACTTTTAAAACATAGTTTTCTATGCATGAAAATTAATAAAATATAATAATTTATAATATAATTTTTTGTGAAGAATATTCATCATTAATTAAGGTGAGGGTTTGAGTTGACTTTTATATTAATTATATTTTATTATTATTGTAATAAGTGTAAGTGTAATCCTAACCTACATATCTGATACTGAAATCAACAAAAAGTGAATAATTTTTTAGGTTTTTATAACAATTAAATGATTGTGAAAAAAAATTTCGTAAAAAAATTCATAATTATTAATTTAGGAGATATTTTATAATTTTTTTAACAAATAATTTAAGTCAAAGAAAATGAGAAAAAAAATTGACATTTAGAAAATTAAAAAAATAAATCAAATTTTTTTAAAATAATTTTTTGGAGCAAATTTATTTATTAAAAAAAATTAAAAAATGGTCAAGTGACTGCTAACTTTAAGGTCATAAAAATTCCACATGTGGTAATAAAAATAAATTATAAGTGCGGATTTTAAAAACTATTTTTTTTATTGTAATTGATTTGTTATAACAATTCTTGATAATTTTTTTAACAAATAAATTATGGCAAAAAAAACAAAACAAAAAAATTCCACGTGTAGAAATCATAAAAAACTATATTTTGAATTTATTAAAAATTATTTTATGATACTGAATTTAACAGACACTTAGCAATTTTTTAGATTTTTATAACAGTTAAATTATAATGGAAAAAATGTAGCTAAAAAATTTCACCTGTAGAAATTTTAGAAAATTATACGTGCGAATTTTTTAAAATATTTCTTTTTTTTTTTATAATAGTCGATTGGTTATAAAAATTCAATGAATTGTCAGTTGTTTGCTGATTTCAGTGTCATATTATATTTTTCAAATAATTTATTTGTTAAATTGTAAAGATATTTTCATGACCTGTTGTATATATAGAATGTGGTTGTTCATGCCATTTTTGGTCAGATTTATTTGTTAAATATAATAAAAAAATAGTCAAGTAACTGGTAACTTCTGTGTCATATATATTTATTGTACATTAATTTATTTATTTAGATAATATGTCAAAGTACGTAGACCTGACAAAATTGACAACAACATATGCGAAGCGTATGAATCTTCTTTCAAACAAAATATTCGGTGAAGTGTTTCGTCCCACGAATCGTAAGTCCATGAAAGTCGTCAAAATATTCAGCGAGAAGCCCATACACAAACGTGAGGAAGTCATCCATTACTATCCACGACATCCGCAGATTGGGTGGCTCATGAGGAACCTTCGTCTATACGGTCTTTTCCGTGATGAACATTTAGATTGGAAAGAAGAAATTGAAAGACAGAGAGTTCTCAAAGGTAAAAAACCACGTGTCAAAAAGTCTCTACGGGAAAAGTAATCTTAACAATTATTTTACAAAATAAATTGTATTAAAATTTATAGATATTGTAATAAATTTATTTGTTATTAAATTTTATCTATAAATTAAAACTGCAAATGTGTCCTAGAATTAAGAGAAAATAAATCGGGTAAATTAAATTGGAGCTTGAAGCTTGATACAAAGGAAAAATTTTTGATAATTCGTCTTCTGTGGTTCCTTCATCTTTGTCACTACGTTCGATATCTTGATATTTCTTGCGCTTAGTTGTATTTTTTGTTGTAGATGTTGTAAAATTATGAATTTTACGGTAATAAGGGGTTTTCGGAGTGTTGTAAAAATATTTAACTTGAACTTTCAAACTTGTAGTGCTATTATAATTACCAGGACTGTTATTTTTTTCAAAGTCCATTGAAACTAAATTATTAATCCATGATCTATATTTATAAATAATTACATGGTTAATTCTATTAAATGCAAATTCATTCAAGGTGGTGATTGTAATTTTTTAAATCAGCTTTACTGTAAAATATTTTGAGGAAAACATGATACTAATTATATTAAAAGACATCTTTCAATTTTTTTGATTTTTTATGACAACTAATTTATTATGAAAAAATTTTAATGAAAAATTCTACATCTAGAAATTAAAAAAAAAAAACTACAAGTGCAAATTTTTTAAAACATGTATTTTTTTTAAAATTTATTTTGAATAAAAATCAAATAAAAGACAGATGTCGATTTATGATACTGAATTTAGCAGACATCAAACTATTAGAAAAATTTTTAACAATTAAATTACAATGAAAAAAATTCCACATGTAGAAAATTGAAAAAATTATAACTTCAAATTTAAAAAAATATTTTTTTATAATAGTTGATTTGTTATAAATATTTCAAGAATTGTTAGATGTCTAAAAAAAATATTTTTTTTTGAAAGAAATGAGCTGTTGTAATCAAAAACAAATTAGTTGAAAATTTTTAACACTTTTATTTTTTAGCTGAAGAAATCAAAATTTTTTTCACAGTAAGTTTCTCATTTGAAAAAAATTTTTTTGATTTGGAAAAAACTAATTTTAGATAGACAATTTGCGAATTTTCACCCAAAATTGTTCTTTCTCAACTCGAGAAAACTTTCTACAAGAAAATTACTATGAAAAAAATTTTTATTTCTTCAGCTAAGAAATAAAATTGTTTAAAATTTTCAACAAATTAATTTCTTGTCACAACAATGCTCATTTTTTTAAAAAGAAATTGTATCATGCTAATTTTAGTATCATACGAGAATATATTATGATAATAAATATTTTCAAAATTTTTTCCCAGCCAAAACTAAAATTTCCAATAAAATTTTTAAACTTCAAAAATTTCCAATTATATCACCACCCTGTAATTACCCTGGAATTGAAAGTTTACCTAAACGAAGTAAGATTCAAATAGGTAGAAGAATCATCGCATTGGAGAGAAAAATTAGTCCAAGATGCTATCCCCAATACACGATTATCACCGTTCGGCTCATTGCATACGATCGGTGAACCTGGATTACCTGCACACTGTTTCCGGCTTTCACCGCTGGCACATACAATATTTACGTCATTGATCTTGTTTACACAGGCCTCTTTATCTCGCGGTTGTACTGAAATAGTTTTTATAGCTTTGGTAAACACCCGAATCGTCGAAGATATAATACTATCCCAGCCGTAAATAAAACAACAATTGTATGTATTTATCGATTTAGTAGCCCCAATATTCACGAGCATCCCGGCAGTATTATTTAAGAAACCAAGCGGCTGTAAATTGAATGGCCGGTAGAGTTTCATCAGAGCAATGTTGAACCTGTGGTCGTGTACTTTTGAGTACATATTAAATTTTGGATGAATAAATGTTGCTTTTACTCCGATTGGTTCGCCCGGTATTTCATTGGTTCCCACTACATTAACCAGTATCGACTGAAATAAAGTCAAAAATTAATTTATTAATTAATTAATTAATGGATAAATAATCATTTAATAATGGATTTACATTACGCTTATTGTGAAGGCACTGTGCAGCAGTCAGAACCCAATCTGGAGTAATTAAAATACCACCACAAGGTACTATTGTATAAAATTGAACCAAGTATGGAAAAAAATTATCTGTTTCTTGGTTATTGACAAAAGTATTAATATTAAGTATAATTAAAAAAAAAATTAATAGAAAAATTGACATATTATCTTTAGAGATAAATCATCATTTGTTTTTTATTTTTCTCAAAAAAACAACTTCAGTTATGTACATATGTACATATGTAATAAAAAGTAAAATTATCATGGCAAAAATATAAACAATTAAGTAATTATTTTAATCAGTCAATTAAATTAATAAGTCTACAACTCTTGTTTAGAGTTTTTCCTTTTATTATCATTACTAGATTTTTTGGATATTCTTTTTGATTTATCTTTCCGATCTTTACCCGTGTCGCCTTTTTCTTTGAGACATGAGTCATCATCGTCTACGAGCACCCGTTCAGAACAAAGATACCTGAGGACAAATATTTTGGACAAGTTAGATAACTGTTGTAAATGTTTTAATGACTAGACAAATTTTTAGACCAAGTTCCGAGTCCTGGGGGACTCATGTTCTGGATCTAATCATCGTAAATAAGATAAATATTCTTTTACCTTTCAAGCGGCACTTTTCCTTGGTAATTGAAATACCACTCCTCGATATCTGACTCATGATTTTCGAGCATATCCTCACATTGTGTTTTCAAGGTTGTTATCTCAACAGATGGTTTGTCCCATAATTCATACGGTATTCCCAACTCGACTTTAACTCCTTTATCTCTGTAATTATAGGAAAACAAATCAGATGTAATTATACGAATTAGACTTAAGCTTTAACGTTGATAAATGCTTTTTTTTTTTTTTATTAAATAAAGTTATTTACACAAGGCCATGGAGTGTTTTGAAGGTTTGACTCATTCCTTTGGAAAATCTTGTACTGTCATCACGCTCCTTATGGATGTTATACTCCAGGATACGTTCGCAAATATCTTCCAGTGATTCAACCAGTCTCAGCTCTCTATTAAAATATGACAAATTTTTTTTTTTTTTCAATTACGTTATTAAATTAAAAAATCGTTCTTCAACCATCATTTAAGGGGGTCCTCTGGTCTGAAGCCCTGATTTTTGAGCATTTTTTTGGGATTTTTTTGTAAAGACCAATGAAGAGATAGAACTTTGAACTTTCTATCATTTATTTATACTTATTTCAAGAGTATACAGTTAAATTTTTAGCTAAAAACATTCAGTTGAATTAAAGTTATAGTGGTGTGAGGACGCCGGCCTCAAAAAAAATTGACGCTCACTCTTCCTCCATGATATCAGCTGATTAGCTAATCTGAAACAAAAAACCCGACGGGGTTTTATTCTGTATACTTAAATACGGGGAATGAACTACGATCAAAAAAAAAATTTTGAAAATTGGATTTTTGACAGACTACGGAACAAAAAAGTCCGAATTCCATTTTTTTTTTTTTTTTTTTTCAACTTTTTGATACAAAACAGACTACGGAACAAAAAAGTCCGCCGAATTCCATTTTTTTTTTTTTTTTTTTTTTTTCAACTTTTTGATACAAAAAAAATAGAAATTTTTAAAATTCTTTTTTTGATCGTAGTTCACTCCCTGTATTTAAGAGTATACGGAATAAAACCCCGTCGGGTTTTTTTGTTTCAGATTAGCCAATCAGCTGATATCATGGAGGAAGTGAGCGTCAATTCTTTTCGAGGCGGGTGTCGTCAGATCACTATAACTTTAATTCTACTGAATGTTTTTAAAGTTCTATCTCTTCATTGATCTTTACAAAAAAATCCCAAAAAAAATGCTTAAAAATCAGGGCGTCAGACCAGAGGACCCCCTTAAAATAAATGATACTGAAATTAGCAAACGTTTAAAAATTTTTTAATTTATTTCATTAATTAAATTATAACTAAAAAAATATTTTTTATAAATTACTCTTGTAGAGTTATAAATCTTGTGCATATGAAATTTTATTTTTTTAAAATAATTTTTTTGAATTAAAAAAAATTATCAGATTTCTGGTGATTTGATTTTCATAAAAATATTGAGCTTGTTAAAAATATTACGATTGTTTATACTGCTTTTTCTTTTTCGGAGCAACATCGTCTAGAGAATAACCGACTTCCAGGACATCGTGAGTCTTTCCTGTTTCATCTAGCCTTGCTTCCAATTCCATAGAAAATACTTTGCACACTAAAACAATAATAATTAATTATTGATAATAAAAAATAAAAATAGTAAATAAAAACATTTAAGTAAAAATTACCTTCACACTTATTAGCGTATTTTACACCTTCATCCTCTTCAGGACTAGCATAAATTGTTGTAAACAATAAAAAATTTAACAACAATGTTCGAATCATTGTAAAAATTTTATGAAACTAATTCACTAGAGAGGTTAAATCACTTCAAATATAATTTTATCGCTTTTCTAAAAAATATAAAAAATAGTCAAACTGACACAGAATGATGATCTGTTCTTTTATCATTGGCTCACTTAAAATAATGATATAAAATTTAATCTCCTTAATGTGATTAAATATGCATATGTTTACGTTGAATCACAACAACATGGGCATAAATTCTGTTGACTATTTCGAGACTATACATTTTTTTATACTCTATAGTTAGGAGTCATGAGTCTAAATATGGCGATTGTTGAGCGCGATAAATCAAAAATCTATTATACAGTGCTGATGAATTTATTAACATACAATAATAATAACGACGATTTGCGGATAAAATATTAATCAATATTTTTTTCATATTATCATTATCATTATATTATTTTATTTTTTTTATAATTAATTGATTATTCTACGTCTTCGGTATCGTGTACTCGGTAAAATCTTCCATATGAACGCGTTCATTGGATCTTGTATCCTCAGATTTGTCGTCAGAACTACTGTTTGATTCCAGAAGACGACGTCTCAGTCGTTTAATGTGCCTTAGCCGCTCAAGCCAGTTGGAAGAATATGGATTGTCGCTTTTTTGTTTCAATGATGATGACACCAATGATGCAAGCTAAAAATGATAATTTTGTTTAAATGTTATAAAAAATTTTATAAATAAAAATAAAAAAATGTATTAATAATTACATTAGCATGAAGAGCTAACTGCCTTGATAAAACACCAAGATTTTGATCAGATATTATTTTGGGTTCACTGTGACCAATATGTTCCGCTAATTCTTCTCTCGCTTGTATTGTTACTAAATTTGCTCCAAGATCTAAAGGTTGAATTATGACACAAGCATAATTAAACTGACCCTAAAAAATAAGTCAAAATAATTAATTAATTAATTAATTATACATATTTAATGATACTGAAATTGAGAGACATCTGATAATTTTTAGAGTTTTTATAATACATATAATAAATAAATTATAGCAAAAAAAAAAACTTATATAAAAAATCCCATCTTTAGAAGCTATAAAAAATTATAAATTACCTAGTATATTTTTCAGAAAAAATAAAAAAATTGTCAAGTGTCTGGTAATTTCAGTCGAAATATTTTCAAGTAATTAAATATTTGAATTATAAAAAAATACCTTAACAGTTTGAATGTCATAAGACTCGCCACTTTCATTATAAACAATAGTAACATAATCATTTCCAATGTGTTGTTTTTTCCAAGTGCACTTAGGATCGCTTTGCTTCGTAGGCATCAGCGTCGCCACATGAAAAGCTACGTGAGTAATATCATCCTGCCAAATATAAGCAAAATTACCATGCTCTCCATTGCTGTCAAGACCACCAAGGTAAACTCCCTCATCAACATTTTTCAAACACATCAGAGTACCAAGTCGCTGAAGAAACTCCGTGTACCTAACCGATCCATGCTGGTTAGCCAGAATTTCCGCTTCGTTAGACGCCTGGTTTGGTCCAACATAAAGCACTCCAATCTTGTGAGTTTCGTAGGGATGCATCCGATCGAGATTCGTCATAGCTCTCTGCAAAGCCGTCGTCGGAGGTACAAGCAGAGGTTTTTCATTCCCACTGCCAAAGTGCGCATTGTGATAAAGCTGAAGGAATACAGAGCTTGGATTAATTCCAGTGCGCGGGGCTTCTTTTATTCGCGGCGAATTACCCCGACGGATGCTGTCTCGAACGGGAGACATCACCGAAATTGTGTGTCCGCGATCACGGAAAGCTATAGGCGGCAAACCCGATGGATCAGGTCTTTCTTCACGTCGTTCAATCTGATAACTCCGACCGAGAGGTGGTTTATTTTCGATACTCAACGCTACTTGTCTGGCATTAGACTCCGAAGTAGACGTTCTCGAGTACTGCTGCGTGGGCGACTGCGGAGGCTTGGACGATGACACATGATGAGCGACTCGGCTTTGCGCTGGTAAAAATCCAGGAGTGGTAGCAGTAGGTGAAGGAGGAACAACATTACTGCTACTGCTGCTACTACTGCTAGTGGTTCCAGTGTTTCCAGCAGCCGTTGTCGTTCCAGGATATGAATACTGAGTTTGAAAAACTCCATGACTGTGACCAAGACCACGCGCATGTTGATTTCCAGCTTCAGCCGCTGGCGGAGTCGTTCCCATCCCAGAAATTTCTTCAGGTATCGCTTCACAACTTACTCTCATGTCCTTGGAATAAGCAGTCTTAGCATGCTTGACGTCAAAATCTGACGGCGCGTCCACAGGAGGTATTACTAGCTTGTCTTTATTTAAAAATGGATTTTTCCAACTTGCACTCATCTCAGGACTCGAGTTAGATCGACGAACAGGATTTCGTGATCTCTTAGAATCGTCATCACCGTCCTCTAGACTCTCAATACTATCACGGGAGCTCTGTCTAGAGGTGCTGTGCCGTCCCGGTGACCCAGGTATTGCAATAGGTCCAGTAGATTTATTTAAATTAATCTGATGCTCAGCGCTCTGTCCACTAGACTTGCTCTCAGACTTTTCTTCAGTCTCGTCCTCAAAAGACTCTGTCGTGGTGGTGTCCTGACTATTCGAAGTTTTTGTAGTAGCTTCTGAGATAGGCATCAACAGCGCCGTTAAATCTTGCAAAGGAAAATCAATCACAGTGTCGCATTGTACTGAGTTTTGTACTCTCATTATCCAAGACATATCACCAGTAGGCCGACGGACTAAAATCTCCGCCCAGCCTTGACACCAACACGCACACGGCGTGTACTCGTCTTGTTTATTATCACTCCCAAGAATTTGCTCCAATTTACTTGTCTCAGCTTCTTTGTCCTTAATTTCGCTTATTAGCTCACGTTTGTCAACCTTAACAAAATCGTCATCCAGCCCCTTTTTGGACTCTTCTGTCGGCGAATTCGCCGCTGTGTTTGAACTCGAACCCGCATGACCAGACGACTGTCTTGACAACCTGTCAAAGATTATTTAATTAAAAAATACCTGTTAAAAATTATTTAATTAAAAAAATAAGCTGATTAAAAAGTAAATTTTTTTTCAACCCTTACCTATTCTCATCTTTTGCCTCAATACTGGACGCTCGTCGTGGAATACCAAGCCCTGCCCTGTGTTCTGGACTCAGTGTTGCCTTACAAGCAACCCAACAGCTATCACACAGTCCTCCTTTCATTGATTTATTGCTGCATCCGCTAGTAGTTACTGTAATCAGTCTGTTACCCAGGAACCAGGTCATCGACTGGCCATCTTTCAACAAGAATTCTGCACCGTCAAATCTTTTAGGCCTGGCTGTGTATGTCGAGAAAGTGTACCTCGCTAATAAATCAATACAAGTCTCAGCCAACTCCATGTGAAACGTCATCAGTTTCTCGTCCATCTGTGGTTTCAAATCTCCAATTATCTGATTACCTATTACTGGTCTTTCGCGTCTTCCTCTGCTGCCCTGTTCCGTCAAGCTCGAGCTTCGTTTTCTGTGCGACGAGTCTTCTTGCAGAGTGCTGAAATTAGAAGTCTTGACTTGTCCTTCCTCCAAAGGCATCACCACGTTGTCATTCAATCCCGAGGTTATGCATTTGACAAACTCACGTCTCAATGACACACGGCATTTTAAAAACCAGACTGCAATTACATGATAAGCTAATGACACTGTGTAATGATTGTACTTGAAAGGATTTGTATAAGGCAGTAAAATAGCGAAGATAAGTCGGTACTGATTTTCAGTGAAGCTCGAAAAAACCGGGGGAAATCTCGCGACCATTGATAAAAATTCTAAAATAGGTATGGCGATGTACTGGACCGCAGAAATTTTAGACAAGTCTGACACAACTGCCGGCAGCAATTTGGTCATTGCGTCTCGCATCTCCAACGTGCAGGTTGTCAGACTCGTAACACATTTGCTTGCGCATTTGGTGGTAAGTCCGATCTCCAAACACTTTATTAATCTCTGCTGCAAATTAGGCTCCAGGTGCGTGTGGTAAGAAGCCAGAGAAGTCAACACAGGAAAGACAAATATGCGAAAATCGGTGATGGTAAATTTAGATGGGGCGTTACTCAGCGACTCAGGTAATTTAAGATTTCTATCAGTGATCATCGAGCAGAGTGCAGCGGCTACGTAATCAATGTCATTGCTCTGTCTTGCTAAAATCAATGCTCGATTTTGCAGCAAATTCGGAGTTTCTTTCAAGACAAGCTGAAGCACCCTCCAGTCTCTTTCCTGTTTTAAACACATTATCGCTGCTTTGCAGGCCATGGCCAAAGAAACGTGACTTATTTGACAGGGTGTGTGTTGTAAAGGAGCTGGACTCATTGGTGGGCTGTTTCCACCGCCACTGGGGCCTAACCGATCAGCAGATGCATGCTCCAGACTCAAGTAAGGACTAAATCTTGTTACTGTGCCCGTCTCGGGGTCCGGGTATCCAACTTGGTACAGTGAATTCGCGCGTAACTTTAAAAAGCATTCGAAAATTAAATAGCGTATCGTTGAAACTTCGTGAAAAATTTGAGTGTCTTTGTAGTGCTGCTCGAGATGATTGACAAGTATTTTGTAAGCTCTAATAGCGTGACTAGAAGGCAAACGATAAATCTTTGTTGTAAAAATTTCAATAACTCCAATCATAGCTGTTTTAACATCCTTGATATCATTCTCACTGACCACCGGAGTATCAACGGTGAAAGGTTTGTTTATTATTTTCTCCAATATGTCCAACAGTTCAAGACATCTTTTAATCTCGCACTTTAAACATAAATCAACCAGCAATTTTGCGGATACATTCCGGATGACAATATCAGGATCTGCGTCTACGTGCTGCAAATAAGGTACTATTATCTTCTCAATCAATTCATCTTCATGGTAACGATTCGTGTGGATTATTCTCGTAACAATATCCAAGACTTTAACTCTAATGTTTGTGCGTGTTTCGACTTTGAAATAACGTTCCACCAAATTTGCCAATTTTGATTGCCAGTGGTAGTGTGTGAGGCCTATGATAGACGCACGGTAGTCGATCAGTTTGAAGACAGAAGCTTCAGGTCTCGCATCGGAGCATCTTTCAATCAACTCGTAGAACCTTTGAACGTCTCCGTTGTACTGAACAGCGTCTACAAGATTTTCTATGCCGTTTAGTGTGTCGTGAAGACTCTCGGATACTTGCTGAGTCGCCGGCTGGTTGCTTGTTTCGATGTGCAAGATCACGTGCTGAATGATATCCAAAACTACGCTCCAAGTGGGCTCGAGTAACGTAGACCCGTATTTAATGACCAGTCTTTGCACAGCCAGGGTCACTTCGTACATGACAATTGGGTGGTTGCATTTGAGCGCTTGGATGAACGAAGGAAGCACTGATATCGGTGTACACTTGAGCTTCTGGATCCTGTGGGTGCCCCAGAGGCCCATGTTTACGTAAAACACAGCTCCACGAAGCAAACGCACGTCCTGCTGGACAGTCGGATCTTGTAACAGCCGACACATCGTGTAGAGCGCAGTGTGCCCCATGTCAGTGCCGAGTAGCTTCTTCATTATCTTCCAGCTTATTTCGCAGTAAATGTCAACATTGACGCTACGACACAGCGCTGTTATAAAAGTCTCCAATGATTTAGATTGAAGGTTAATATTGTAGCCGACGATTGTGTCAAGAGTATCGAGACATCCTGAGACAACCTCTTTGTTGTTAGAATAGTAACACAAATGACAGATAGTTTGTATAAGACCTGAGACAATATCCTCGTCGATGTACGCAGAGTTGAACTTTATAACGTTGACAAGAAGCGACAAAAATTCAGCACCCCGTTTTTCGTCACCTGACGTGACTGTTGGCATCCACTTGAGAAGGAAGCCTCCCATTTTTTCCTCCAAAGGCTCGATGTTTTTACCATTGTCAGTCAGTCGCTGGAGCAACTCCAATCTCGGGCCGATGTCCTCAGGGATATCGTGCTCTTGCACAACCTTAAAAAATTGAACACGCATTAATGATGACATTCTACTGTATTGCCCTTGGACTAGACTGCTCAAAAAATTAAGAACAATGTGACGGTGCTCTTTTGACACATCTTTGATCAGTAAATCTTTAACTAAGCTCCAGAATTTTTCAGTTGCTTTGTCTTCCCAGTGATTATTTAATACACTGTCGGTTAGGTCTTTCAAAATACGAGTTCGCTGATAAACTGGATTTTCAGAGCTTATTTCACGTTCTATTTCCTGGGTCAATGTATGCTCTTCGTTACTTTTGTAATTATCTATTGGGTAATTTAATAAAATATTAATGTTAATGTTAATTAGACAGGTATTTTAATGAAATTTAATTGATAGTAGTTGAAGGTAATATTATAAATAAATATTTATTACTTACTTTTACTGATACGAAACCATTGCTTGAATTTGTCATTAAGACTTCTCTGATCTTTATCTTTGATATTCATCTTTGACATTATAACATTTCTTGACGGGTAATTAGATGAATATTTTTAGTTTGATGTAACAATATAACTTACTCGCCGGTTAGCTAACAACAGAGACTACATGTCAAGAATCAAGACAAGTAAAAAAAATCATCACCTCCATAAGAAATTCACAGCCTTTGTTCCCACATGTACACACTCGCACTCACATACTTCGTATGTATATTATTCTCATACATTTAAAAATAAATCACTCGCCATATGATCATCTTTTTTATCTTCCGTCAGTAATTTTATTTTGTCGGTGGATAGATGGCGATGTAAATTGTCTCTAGGTGAAAAAATTTTACCGCCAAAAATTAAAAATTTTTTTTTTTGTTTTTAATTATTACAAAGTTTGTTTTTATAATTAAATTTATTTCAACAATAATTATCAATTGTATTTATTAATAATTAATTATAATTTTTAAGAAAATATAATAATTAATACATTTATTAATTTAATAAATTATTAGATCATTAAATTGTCCAAAAAAAAAATTATTTTAAATAGATGAATATTTCTTCTCAAATAATTTTTATACTAGGATATATTAATTGTGTGACAGACACTATAGAAAGTATAATATAAAATTCTACTTATTTGTAAAAAATTAAATTATCAATAGAAAAAAAATTGTTTCATATAAATATACATAAGAACAAAGCTACTTTAATTCTCTTATTTACTTTCTTTTAAATTTCTATAAACTTTACAATGCATTGTTTAAGTCAGCTAAAAGATTATTTTAAATACACCCTTAATAATACATCTATTTAATTAGAACTAAAAGTAAATTTTTCTTTTAATTATATATATTAATGAATATTTTCAATAAAATAAATACTGAATATAATGAAGAAGTATATTGAAATAAATAAAGGTTATAAAAATAATACATCAATTGAAAACAAGTGTTCCAAGATAAAGAAGAAAAAAACGGGTGTTTAACATGTGAATTGAAATAGAACTAAACGTGGAGCCTATAAAATATATATCATTAAAATAAATGTAGCAGAAAGATGCAGTTAACTTAATATATTAATAAAATCTTGAAAGACACTGAGAATAAGTAAGAAGACCAGGGTCATGAGTTGGTGGTTACAATTCTTTTGGTATACATCCGTACATGTATGATTAGTAATCCCAACGGCATACCAAGCGTCGGACTACTTCCTCCATGCATACTGACACCAAATCCTATATACCAAATGGTTGTATGTGAAGCTGAATGCTGGGGAAGCTTCCAATGTTACATTACAGCTTCAGGAGAATTGCTAAAACGATAAAAAAAAAAAAAAAAAATCGGAAATCGAGCAGGTAACAAAAAAAGTACAAATATTAATAATTATTATCAAAAAGGAAACCTGTATGTTTAACTTAATTATATGTATAGGACAGAAATCAGAATCATGATCATCTTGAAGAATTATATTATTATAAGTCATTAAATGAGTAAGGTAATAAACAATCCCGATACTCGAAAGAAATCGAGATGAAGGTAAGCGTGAAATTTTTTTGTCAAACTAAATGTAGGTTAAGCATTAAGGATCGTCAGCGTCTACCGAAATTTTTAATAAGCTATTACTATTATAATAGTTATAATAGTATACTAATAAAACGAGTATCTAACAAGTATTTGTAATATTTCACAGGCTTTGTGACGTTTTTTTATGATCACGAAAGAGAATCATCACTTGTTTGAGTCTCACTGTTAAGTGGACACTAGAATTTACAGTTAGACGCGCCAGGTAGATTTTACTTTTCTTTTTTTTTTTAGCCATTAATAAATTTACTGCTTTAAATAATTGCCCAGTAATTTATATATTCATTCATTCTTTCATTTATCTATTTATTTACAGGTGAATTGATAAATGTCCATCAACGTAACATAAACGAAGTGATTAGCCAGACAATCGGAAAATAGCATAACAGTAAAAAATATGCGAAGAAGATGTAATGTTAAAGATGTAAACAATGTCGTTGATAATAAGAATATCGACAATAGAAATTTAAAAATAAAAGAGAACGAGAGAATAATTGCAAAGGTAGTCTTAGCAACAAATAATTCCTTCCAGGTTGGTTGTAACCCAGTGGAAGGAAGGAAGAGGAGCATGGAGTGGAGATATAAGAGCCACTCCGGACAGTTGCTCGCCTGTTTCACACTCTCACCTCCGTAGAACGAAGGTGATTCTCTCGATCTTGAAATTTCTTGGTTCGTTTTCTTATTGACTGATACGGAGAGGGTCTCGTCTGTGAAATTTAGTTTTAATTTTTTGGACTGTTATTTTACAAGAGACGAGGTGAGTTTGGAATTCATCTAAAATATTTTTTGAAAATTTAACAAGTTTGTGTTTTTACAAGTGTTGAAAATAATTTTTTAATCATTGAGTGTTAACACTGTCGTGAAAAATAATCAAACTACTTAATTCCCGGTTAAAACAGTGGGAATTTGACCTGCGTACCGTTTGGTCCTGCCCACTTCCTTATTCTTAATCACCATATCAAGCATTCTTATTAGTAAAATTACTAATATTAAAAAAAAAAAATAAAATGATATATATGTAACTGACAATTAGCATTAATAAGTATCTTATTAAGTGTAGAAATAAAAAAAAAAAAGTATATTTTCAGAGCCATGAAGAACGTGGCGGTGATACTGGTGCTATTTGTAAGCTGCATAGCGTTAATCAATTCTTCACCGCTTCCTGGTGTTGGTGACAACAGAGTTGCCCCGACCAAGAGCAAAGATACCAAAGACACGCCTGCTGTCGTGTCAGCTCGTCAGTCTGGCGGAACTGCAGCCGATGACGACGATGATGATGATGATGATGATGACGATGATGACGAACTGCCCGACCCAACAGCACTAGTAGATGACGATGACGATGACGACGACGACGACGATGAAGATGATGATACCTCGAGTGGGGGCACTAAAGGCGAAGAAGATGATGATGACGATGACGATGACGACGATGACTACCTGGAACGTTTCATTGATGACATTCTTGGAGGTAAGAAATTAATCTCCGTTATATTTGTATAAGTTATTTCTTTGGACTAACGGTACTCGAAGCTTCGGCTCGCACGAATTAACATAATTCAAGCGCGTGTTCTACTTGGTTTACTTTGGCCTACTTGTCTTACTAGTAGTCAATTTTTATCTTAAGTCAATATTTAGTATATTAGTAATCAATATAATTATTTGATAAATATATAAAAAGTTCAAATTTCTCTACGGGCGTATCTTTACTAAAATAGCGTAAAATAATTTTTTATCTTCATTTATCAAGAGATTTTTTGTTTCAAAGTAATAAAAAAAAAAAAAAAAAAGAAATTTGATTTTTTTTTTCTATTTTTTCTATTTTTTTTTTAATTACTCATTACAAATAATTTTTTTTTTCTGTCAATTGATAAAAATTTTTTTACAACCCTAAAAAGTTCAGATGATTAATAGTGTAAACTATTGAAAAAAATCAATAATAATATTATTTTATTAGGAGATGAAGATGATGATGATGACGATGACGATGATGCTAGACCAGTTGTGGAGCCAATAAAACCAGCAAGTCCAGTTCAAGCGCCTCAGGCACCAGTTGTCCCAGCGGCTGTTCAAGCAGACTTAAATGCAGCCGAGGAAAGCGCGGCACTTGCAGAAAACTCAGCAGATTCACTTCAACAGCCATCGGATGTCGCTGCAACGTACGATGAAACAGGGGAAGAACCGGATGTGCTACCAGAAGGCCAAGCGGCATCAACTATTGAAGGTGGCGAAATTCAACCACAACCTGCAAACGTTCATCAAACTTTACAGTCATCGCCTGTCTCTCAGGATACCGCGGACAATGACGACGATGACGACGAAGACGACGATGGACTTGACAACCCTCTTGAAGACGAAGACGATGACGATGATGAAGAGGATGATGATGATGATGATGATGATGATGACGATGATGACGTGGGTATTGAGGATGCTCTCGGTCGACGTGCACGTGAGTTCAAGGGCAAGACAAAGAAACACACTAACAACAAACGGTCGCGTAAGCATCATCACGCGCGCATTTCGAGCCTCCAAAAAAAAACCCCGCCTAAATAATTTTTTTTTTAATTATCCTTAATTTTTTATTTATTTATTTTTATTTAATATTTATTTTCCATTTTTTCAACCGTAAAATCAATTCAATCCAACTAATTAATTAATTAATTCATTAATTAATAATTAAATGATAATACTATAAATTTTTTTTAATTTACGTGTCGAGTTTATCGGCACCGTCTTTTTAAAGACGTCGCATGTTTCATAAATGCCTGCAATCTCATATCAAACGAGAGATTCCCGAGGTTTATCGCTGCTTACAAGACTATCTTTTATTTCTTTAATTACTATTAAATAATCTTACTATTTATTTATTATTATTTATTTATCTATTTATTATATTGTTAGTGATAATTCGATTGTCTTGCTTTTCATCCTCATGTCCTCGGGAATTTTGCTCGTATGAATATAAATTACAGTATTTATTATTTTTTTTTTTATTAATTAATCAAAAAATGCGATTTCTTTCTTCCGGGTAGTGAAGAGAGGGAGTAGCGTTAAAATGCCAGCTTTGGCGACGTCACGTATAATTTTTTTTTTTAATCACATATTTGTACTCATTTATTTATTTATTTAAAAAACGATCCTAGTATTTTCTCCTCGAACAATGAAACTTATCGCGTATTAAATAATGTGTGGAGGCACGGGTGCGAGTGCGAGTGTGAAATTTTTTTTCCGAGGAGATAATACTCATCAGTGCACTCAAAAATAATAGAATAATTATTTAGACTGTAAAAGATAACATCAAAAAAATTATAAGAAAGCAAACAATTGTTATAATACCCGTATTATGGAATCAAATTGATATACTGTATAGTTGTTTTTTTTCTCTTTAATTCGGAGTTAAATGATAAAAACAAAAAAAAAAAAAAAATATAAATTATGAATCTTTAAAAATTGTGTTTGGTTCTTATTGATACGGTTCGTGTCCAGATACTCGGTGTTACAGTAGAAAACCCTACGTGACGTGCCGAATGCTCGAGCATTCTAATGTAACTTTCTTCCTTTGTTTATTAGTTTTTTTTTTAATTTATTAATGTCATTGTAGTAGATCTTTATTAATCGTTTTAATAATTGCCAAAGCTTTAGCTTCAGCTTCGTTTAATTAGCTTGTTAACTTCCTTAGGCTTTTTTATTAAAAACAAAATGAATTTAATAAATAGCTGTAGACAATCGGGTGACAGACTGTAACAAAGTGTACCTGGACAGAACCATACTCGACAAATATCTCGACTCATCTTTCATATTTCCTGTAAAATATTAAATCCATTATCATAATTTACCAATTAGTTTGTAGTTGGGTTAAACTAAATGGGAATGCTTGTTTATAAATTAGCTATTTTATTTTATATATACATATATGTATAGTGTATTTATAAGTTATTGTGAAGAAGATGATCAAGAACTATAAGAAGAAAAAGAACAAGTCAAAGAAGAAAAATAAGAAGAAGAAGAAGAAGAAGAAAGTAAATGATGGGCGTGGTAGACCGATTTGTTGAATATGAATTAGTAATGAGCTTTCACCAGCTCGTGGTGTCATGTAGTATCGGTGGATTCATTGGTCCGCGAAGAAACGAGGCCAGTGACCCGGAGTAACATGGAACGTACGACCCTGACCTACTAAAGATGATGCACGATCTTGTACATATCAAAAGGGTCGGATGTTCAGAGGCTTGTTTGGGTTGTTGTTATTTATATAAATAATTCTCCGAATAACTCTTATATTAGTTGAGTGTCGAGTAGGAGAAACTGAACGCGGAAACGACCGACAAGCCTGTTGGTTGTTGGTTGTTGCCAGTTACAGCCAATGACCCACATCTGGATACCAGTTTGGTCAAGAGATTATTCCGGGCCCGTTAACATTGTTGGCTCTGCATAAGTAGGTTCCATAATTTTCCTTACCTGACAATCCCACACTACTGTACACTACCTGGTATACTCTTCATCTAGTGCACGGGTTACTCCTGTTAAACTCCTGCTGCTGGTGCTCTGTTTGCGAGCTCACTGGTTCTGGCTTTCTTTTAAGGGCGAAAGGAGGTCACCGTTTGAACGCGTGACCTCTCGATAATAAGGACAAGGCCGGGCCGGGAATTAATATTCTTTCGGATCATTATCATCATTGAAAAATTTTCGCAGGTGCCTTCGAACCCGGGACCCCTGGTGATGTGTCGGCGATCTACGTCTCCAAGTACAATAAATTTGTTGACAATATTCTTGGAAGGATTAACAAAATTCTCAAGGAAAATTATGATCCCGTGACGGTCAAGCTCACCAATCCAACTCCTTCTAATAAAACTAACAAGACTAAGAAGAAGAAAAAGAAGACTACTAACAGCAAAACTAGGAAAAGTAAAGGAGAGACTGTCGAGGCGACTTTTGTTGATTCAAATATTATTGTAAGTGTGTTAATTCGTTTTTTAGTCAATTATCACTTATTTTTAATTTTAATTCATCAAAATTTTCTTCATTAATTTTACTTTTTTAAATTATTATAAAAAACAAAATTTTTTTTAATTTGCACTTGTAATTTTTTTAAATTTTTACATGTAGAATTTTTCTCCAAATTTTTTATATTGAAATTTAATTGTTATAAAAATCTAAAAAATTTTATAACGTCTGTTGATTTCAGGATTATATTTATAAAGATAATTAAATTGATTTATTGTTAATTTCTTAAATTGTTTTAGGGGTCAACGACTGCGCCAGAAATAGAAGAAGTAATGACAACCGAGACCACACCTTTGATTAACACTCCCAACGAACAACAAACAAGCAGTCGAGGATCAATCGTTAAAGACAGCAAGAAAAAGTCTAGCTCGAGTAAAAATAAAACAAAATCCAAGGCTGGCGTCAAAGGAACATCCAGCAAAAACAAAGTAATTAAGAAATTCATCAATCAAACTAATAAATCCTTGTCATTTATAATGAGATTTTTGTTTGTTTTTTTTTTTTTTTTTTTTTTTTTTTTAGCTAAAACAAAGTAAACCAAAGCAGAAATCTCGGGCCCGAGCAACTCTGTACGGATTGTCATCACTCAAAAGAGCTGGGGACGTGTCTGTTAATATGATGAGCGACCACACTACAATTAGGACTAAATTCAATTTGGGACCACTGGTATTGAAAGTTGAAAAAGAGTTCGGGAGAGCCGCTAAAAAAGAATTAAGAAGCGCTACTGCGACTACCGCTGAGATGTCAGGAAAATTGAGTCTACGTGTGCTGAATGGCGGAGCGGCGACTCTGCATTCCATTCGTGTTCTTCAACCCAAGCAGGTACTAAAATAATAATATTAATCTCTGAAACAACAAAAAATTTATTGGCTGAAGCATTAATTTATTTAAATAATATTTTTATTAGGTACGCGTTGACAGTCCAGATGATCACGACCGTACCCGCGAATTTGTCTGGCGAAGATCATCGCACATCGCGCACTTAGTCTCGCAGAAACTTTCATCTGCAACCCGGTCGATGCTTCGGCCACCACCAACACCTGAAATATCATTATTTTCATAATAACTCTCATGAATTTTTATTTTTTTAATAATCAATTATTTATTTATTTATTTATTAAAATATCTTACGTTGATGTCCGCCAGCTAACTCTGTAAATAGTCTATCATATTTATTTTTATGTTATTGTAATACTATTTATGTATATTTATCGAATATCATTGATATATATATATATATATATATATATATATATATATGTATACAACTACTAACCTTACTTGAAAGTCGAATGTTATTTTCTTCTCAATAGAACTAAATTATAATATACAAAATTTATCAAATAGATTGTAGTTTATCAGTGTTATCACAGACGACGTGGAGAAGTTTGACATTTTTTAACGACTTGGCAATTACTTTTATCATATGACACATCGACACGATCCACGTGACTAATCAGCTAATCATCAATATATATTTAGTCAAAGTCAAATGAAGGATTTAACAAATATATATATATATATATATATATATATGTATTTGATAAGTGTTCATCAGGAGACTGAACTTGATTTTGGAAAATAAAAGATACTTTTTTTATCTATATAATGATAATTAGTTACAAAAAAATATGTTTAAAAATCACAATCTTTGAAGATAATTGCTTAGTCTTCATCGACCTTGTAAACTTACACAATTAACATCAAATATTAAATGCAAATGTAGTGTATATATGTATATAAAAGTATGTATGTATTTTATCGTAGATGATAAAATATATACGACCATAAAAAGTAAAGAAGTATATGTGTATCTATGTGATAGCAGTGCATCGGTAAAAGCTACTACATAATCATCTATTATAACTAAAAAAAATAATAATGATAATAATAGTAATAAGTAATAAGCATATTATTTGTAATTTATAAGTATCTGTGCGTTTGTTTAGTCACCACATCACATCAGCAAACGGTTAACATATATGTTATGTGTAATCCCCACCATTAAAAAATAATATAAAATAAAGTTAAGTCGCGACTGCGAACCCGTCAAGACACACGATAACTCAGCACTTTTAGTAATACTCTATACGTTCGCTGACTGGTAATCATTAATATTATTTACTATATATTTTACGTTATCTTATAATATAACAGTAGCGAAAATAATTTATATTATACTATAAATTGTAATATTATTTAAATATTTTTTTAGTACATACTTTTTTCATCAATTTTTTAAAAATATCAAATCTTTGATCTTCTGCCTGATTTTAAATTAAGTTAATCATCATGGTATCTTTAATGTCAAGATTAAAAACCACCAAAATGGTAAATAGTGTATCATTAATCCGACAATTGTCTGCTAAAGTAATGACAGAAGGTGAATTAAAAGTAAATAGGAGTAGTAATACCAATAAAGAAGTAAGATTGAGTTATCTTGATGGTAAAGACAATGGAATAGCGGTTTTGGGACTTAATCGTCCTGAGGCAAGAAATGCCTTCAGCAAAAATCTAGTGGCCCAATTGACTGAAGCCGTTGATAAGATTCGTAATGATGAGAAAGTTCGGGTGCTCATTATTCGTAGCCTGGTACCAAAGATATTTTCTGCTGGCGCTGATTTACGGGAGCGGTTTGAAATGACTGAAGATCAAGTAGAACAATTTATCCATTCACTTCGTAGTTTTATGACAAGTGTCGAGACAATGCCAGCACCTGTTATTGCGGCTATTGACGGTGTAGCCTTGGGAGGCGGATTGGAGCTAGGACTTGCTTCGGATATCAGGACTGCTGCTAGTGAAGCCAAAATGGGCCTTGTTGAGACTAAATGGGCCATTTTTCCCGGTGCTGGAGGCACGCTGCGTTTACCGAGGATTGTTGGACCTGCAATAGCAAAAGAACTTATTTATACTTCGAGAATTATTGACGGTGAAGAAGCTAAAAGTATTGGCTTAGTTAATCATGTTGTTAAGCAAAATAAAACAGGCGATGCTGCTTACCATTCGGCTCTTGATATTGCTAGAGAAATTTTACCCAATGGACCTATTGGTGTTAGGTAATTTTTTTTATTACTTCATTTAATTTTATTATATTAATTATTTTTTAATTATTGAATAGATTGGCGAAAGTTGCGATATCGCAAGGAATAGAAGTGCCTATCGAAGATGGATTTAAAATAGAGAAAAAGTATTACAGTGAACTACTGAAAACGCAAGATAGAATCGAAGGACTGGCGGCATTCTCAGCTAAACGTGTTCCCATTTACCGAGGAATGTAAAAAATAATTATTACGTAATTTTTTTTCATTTATTTTTTATAATATTTCTGTTATTTTGATTTTTATATTTTAAATAATTAATTCTGTTACGTTACACTACTACTGTGATATATTAAATGTTTTTAATTTCTTAGATAATATGTATACATTTAACAACAAATATAATTAACAATACACTGTTAACTGTTATCCTTTGAATAAATACTTTGTTTTAAAATGACAACATTTTTTATCGGCAGACTCGGAATGATAAAAAATCATGATGATACTATAAATCATCGATACTTGACAATTTTTATGTTTGTACAAACAAATTATTTGATATAAAAAAAAAAAACTATTTTAAAAAATCCATCAAAAAATTTTAAAGTACAATTTTTTTTAATTTATCATCTGTAACAATTTAATTTATTTAAAAAATTGTCAGGTGTCTGCTGCTTTCTGTATCACAAAAAATATTTTTTTTTTTTTAAATTTAAAAATTACAATTTAATAAAATAATTAAAAATACTGTACAGACTACTCTTTGCTACGTTTTTCATCAAGAACTTCACAAAGAACTTTTAATTGTTTAAGCGTGTCTTCTGGACCTGAGACGCGATGACCGACCGTCAAATCGCTCTCGTAAATCTCGTAATCATTGCCACCTTCCCGTGTTTTGTCTCCGAAGAAGTGAATCTCGTCGTACTCGTCAATATGACGCAAACAGTATGTTTTGTCCCAGCCGATAGGAAACACATCGAATGAAATTTGTCCGCCAATACTGTAAGTCAGTGCCAAATCTGAGAATTCCTTTTTTAAAGCCTGGATGAACTTTTCGCGTACATGATGTTCCTTATCGTACTCGTAAAATTGTAAACGTTCTTTGTGACTACAATTGCGACCCACTGGCGATACATTTATCATTCCTGTCCGGAATTCGATGAACGTACCACGTTTGAAAGGCAATTTCAATTCGGATATATACCGCAGACAGAAGTTTATAAAATCTTGTAGCGAATCTTCTCCTATGAAGTTTTGGATTGACTGTAAATAAGTGACAGTTGATTTATTAATAAACGAATACATCACACTTTTATGAAATTTTAAATTATAGTGATTATTTAATTACCTCAGACGGAAGTTGTTTGCCGTCTTTGTAAGCAACAAGGCCATTTTCAGAGAATACGTATTTGAATTTTTTAAATACTTCATTGCCGCCTAATTGTTCTTTTACTTTTTCTAAATCAGATCCACCAACAACAGCTAGATCAAGTTGTTGTTTTTTTGATATTTCGTGTAATGTTTTTTCAACATGCGGCTCAATTTTCTGTAATATAAAAAATATGTTTTATTTATTTAAAATTTTAATTATAAAATAAAATATGAATAAAATTATGAATTACCAAGCGTGGTTTAGTTAAAGTACCATCGACATCAAATAAACAAATAATTTTTTTAGACATTGTAGCAAAATTTCTGGTCAGCACTCTGAAACATCAATGCTATCATTAAAATCCATCCAATATCCACACCCATAAAGTATATATTTAAATTAACGAATTAAACAACATGAACTTTGACTCAAATTAATAGGAAAAAAAAAAAAAATCAATCGCTAATTTAAATTCATCATCGTATGATCGTGAAAAAAAAGTTTAAAGTCCAATAAATTGAAAAGAAATATATATATATAAATAGCTTATAAAGATTTAAAAGTCTTTAACCTATACATATGTACTGTAAATCGTAAGGTTAAAAAGAACAATTATGTAATTGTTTATTTAATTGTTAAGTAATTAAATACACATAGATTGTTGATAATATATGAATTTTATAAAAATAAACTCGAGAAGTGAAAGGAGCAAGAATTGAAGATCTAAAAGCTTACAAACGTTCGTAACGTGGCAGATAAATTCTTATAGATACATTCCCTAACTACGACTACACTTACTCACTTAATGTATGTAATTACAATACACGTATCCTCCAGTGAATGATGGTAAGTACGATGCTCTTCTTCTTTATAAATATCTATTTATTTATCTTGTGACATCAATTCAACTCCAAAAGATCCCGTGATGTGACTTCGAGTCTACAAAAAAGATAAGAAAACAATTACAGTTACAGCGCTGTGTGTACGCGCACTTTTGAATAGTTATTCAACATTTTTTTTTTTTATTATTTTCGTAATTAATCACCGAACAATGTCTTCAAAGTGGATTTTAATAACCACATTGTGCTATTTATTTATTAATATTTCTAAAGCAACACCTCGTAACGCCATATTGATGTTAGGTAATTTTTATTGTTTATTTTAATATAATTATTTAATTAAACACTTAAAAATTAATATTTATTTAAATACTTATAATTTCAGCTGATGATGCAGGATTTGAAATGCGTTCATACAGAAATAAAATTTGCCAGGCTCCAAATTTAGATAAATTAGCCAAAGAAGGATTGATATTTAATAATGCTTATACTTCAGTCAGTAGCTGTTCGCCTAGGTAACTATCAATTTAATTAAATTAAATTCGCTTATTATTTAAAACTAAGTCTATTAAAAATCAACTTTCAAGTCGGTCGGCAATATTAACCGGTCTACCGAGCCACCAGAATGGTATGTACGGATTACATCAAGGCGTCCATCATTTTCAATCATTTGACAATGTTCAGAGTCTTCCGAAACTGTTGAAACAAAATAATATTCGAACAGGTATTGAAAATTTTCTTTAATAATTTTTATCTGTAAAATTGACTTAATTGATTTTGTAATTTTTTGACTTGTCTTGAAAATTATTTTTAAAAAATTGCATTTATAATTTTTTATCTCAATTTTAATATTATATTTTTTAAAGGAATAATTGGGAAAAAACACGTCGGTCCAAGTGAAGTATTTTCATTTGATTATTCACAAACTGAAGAAAACAACTCAATATTACAAGTCGGTCGTAATATTACTAAAATCAAGCTGCTAGTTCGTGAATTCTTGGCAGAAAGCAGAAGAACAAATCAATCCTTCTTTCTTTACGTAGCTTTTCATGATCCGCATCGTTGCGGCCACACTAATCCAGAGTACGGTAATTTCTGCGAGAAATTCGGAAATGGAGATGTAGGAATGGGTACTATACCCGACTGGAGTCCTATATACTATCAATGGGAGCAGGTCCAACTTCCATACTTTGTCCAAGATACAGAAGCTGCAAGACGCGACATAGCGGCTCAATATACGACTATTTCGCGACTTGACCAGGGTGTTGGGCTAGTCTTGAAAGAACTTGAGGACGTTGGGTTGAAAGACGATACTCTGGTTATCTATACCTCTGATAACGGGATACCTTTTCCTAATGGTCGTACTAATTTGTACGATCCCGGCATGGCTGAGCCGATGATTATTTCATCGCCGTATCATAAAGATAGGAGGAATCAAGTTACTTATAGTATGACTTCGCTTCTTGATATCGCTCCTACTTTATTAGATTGGTTTAATGTAAGTTATCAAGCGGATCCTTATAATTATGATACTCATGAGATAAAGTTGACTGGTAAATCTCTCTTACCGCTTTTAGTTGAAGGTAAGAGCAAAAAAAAAATTGGATTTTTTTTTTTTTAACAATAGTTTTGAGTTCTTCTGTTTGCAGTGATGATTATACTGAAATATTTGAGCTTGACATTAATTAATTTTTTTAATTTTTAGAACCTGTAGAAAAAGATGGAATAGTATTTGCAAGTCAAACTCACCACGAAATAACAATGTACTATCCAATGCGTGTCGCTAGAACTAAACGATACAAATTGATTCACAATTTGAATTATCGAATGCCTTTCCCAATTGATCAAGACTTTTATTTGTCTCCAACTTTTCAAGTAATGAACCTTTTTAATGAATAATTAAGACACTGAAATTAGCAGACATTTGATAATTTTTCTTTAAAATTAAACTAGGTCTAGAAAATTATTTCTAAAAAATTGCATTTATAATTTTTTAGACCTTTCAAAGATGGAATTTTTTAAATAAATTTTTCCTGCTATAATTTATGTGATGAAAAAATTCTAAAAATTATCACATGTCTCTCAATTTCAACATCATAAATAATGAAAATTAAGTTAGCCCACATTTAAAAATTTTTAAGATTTTTTTTGCACTAAAAAAATGATTACAAAAAAATAAAAAAAAATTTTCATTTGTAAAAAAATTAAAAAACTGTAAGTACAATTAAAAAAAATTTTTTTTTTTTTCTAATTTAATAAATGAAAAAAAATTAAAAACGTCGGCTAACTTTAGTATTATTCATTAATAATTCACTATTAAATTGTTAATTAAAAAATAAATTTAAATATTTTTTTAGGATTTACTAAATCGAACTCGCTCAAATATGCCGCTGAGGTGGACTAAAAGCTTAAATACTTATTACAATAGACCCGAGTGGGAATTGTATGACTTGAAATATGATCCGGAAGAGTTGAATAACATCATTAATAAATCATCCAGCCAGCCGATTTTCAAAGAATTGTCAATGAAATTATTCGACTGGCAAAAAGTAACTAATGACCCGTGGATTTGTGCCCCTACCGGAGTCCTCGAGCCTATCGACGGCGATAAAAATAATTTAAGATGTATGTCAACTGATTTTTAAAGCCTAAATCAACTAGTTGACGTGAGGTATAATTCAAGCTTGGATTAAATATTCATTGTGCAATTAATCGAACAAATAATTGAACAACAAAGTTGTCATTTGATTATACTTACTATATTATAACCTCAAGGTTGTAGACTAGAGGCTGTGGTATTTTTCAAGTCTCTTTCATATTTTATAATAACTTCGCTTATTTTGCGGACGTAGTCTGCTGACTTATTGGCTCGTTTTTCAGCTTTTTCAAAATCCAGTGATAGTTTTTCGAGCTAAAAAATATAATCCAATTAATATTCTTTTATTTTTTTATTTTGTACTAATTTTATATGTAATTTTTATAATTTTATAGTTTTTAATAAATAAATAATTAATAGAAAAATAAAATGGTAATGAAAACAGCAGGCGTTCGACAATTTTTACACTCTGAATAAACAGCAGATATTTTATAATTTAAAAAATTTTTGTAACAAATAAATTATGACAAGAAAAAATGAAAATTAAGTTAGCCGACATCTAAAAATTTTTAGAATTTTTTTTATTGAAAAAATTGTTACAAAAAAATAAAAAAAAAAA